CACACACACACACACACACATATTCATACACACACTCTCGCACCCACACTCCATGAAGACGCACACTTTTTTTTCCCAAATCCTTGCACTGACAACCTCACCCACATACCAATCGTTATTCTGCTGCTACACATACACACACATACAACCACCCACCCTTTCCATCCCACTGCAGTGTATCATCTTTATATTACTGCTCTGTAATCTGTAAAATCTTTATATGCTTCCCTGTATTTTCTTCATTATGTCCTACATGCATCTTTCATATTATTTACCCTGGTTGAGGAAAACTGCCTGGAGCTATATGGATTTATATTTTTATTCTAATTATTGTAGTAGTAAAAGCACAAATAAAAGAAGTTCTACTGGAGTTCACAGTGGGAGGTTTACACTGGATGTAGTGATTTGATAACCAAGCGTAGAACTAGGACGCATAGCAAAAGTAAAAGTAAAGTTTAAACAGGTACGTTTAATGCAGATACTTTCAAAAGCTGTGAATCCGTTTGACGATTGAGCAAGACAGAGAGGGACGCATGTAAGGACAGGACGGGTATTGGTGTGTAGCAGGCTGAAGTTTAGACTTTCAGGAAAGGACACAAAAGAGGAACTGCACAAGGAAACAAGGAAATACAGAAATGGTGATATGTGGTCGCAGGGAGAATCATTAACAAGTACTAGGTAGGCTGGTCGTAATTAGTGTCCCTCAGGGGGACACTGAGCAGACTGGGGATTAGTGGAGAGAAGGAGCAGGTCTTTATCCTGCTGGTTTCAGGTGGAGTTGAGGAACTGATAAGTTGTTTGCAGATAAATTGTCAGGTGGGGGAATCTGAATTGCTGTGCCAGGTAGACACACACACACACACACACACACACTCACACACACACACACACACACACACACACACACACACAAATTGGGGAGGAAGAAACACCAGGAAGGGAGAAAATGTAGGGTGGACCCTTTCTAATTATGACAGGGAATAGTATCATTATAATATAAATCACCAGAGATGCATCAACCTACTCAGTTCATTTTATCTAAAACAATGGTATAATTCAATTACTTGCTTGAGCCCATGCAATTCATTCAGATTCACCAGCATCGTCAAAACCAGCAAGACATCATAACATTGATGAGTCCCTACCTTTGAAGATGTCATCCGATTGTTTGAAACAGTCCACGGATCCAAAGGGTCTAAAAAGGGTTTTCATAAAAGTGTTCTAAGTTGTGAATACAATATCATGCATAATCCACTACAAAAAGTCGATCAACTTATTCTTCACTTCTTCACTCAATAACCAGCCTGAGGCAAACTTGCTTTAAATGTATAATTTTGTAAATTACAAATCTTGTTAAAGCAGAGCTTCAGAGCAATTTACATTCTGTTATTAAACCTGTCAGTTTGGTCTCGGATCTATCTTTCTCTCTACCTTGCCATCTCCCATTTTATTAATTTGCCATCTTGCTGTCTGTCTGACCGAATGAATGAAGTCACTGATCTGCTGGGGAGCTTAAGCCCCTGGACGGACAAAAGCTAAACCCTGTGAGATAGCTGTGGCCTTGAGCTTTCAGGAGGGGAAGGCCGAGGGCAGTGATTTGTGGTCCTAGCTACAATAAATCAAACATGATTGGTTGATTCACCTGCCATTGTCTAAACAAACACACAGCTATGAGGTGGGTCCCAGTTATGACATCCTAACCAATGAATAAGCAAGCTAACTTTTTTTTCTGATTAGACTATAATAAAGGATAATCTGATTGGATAACTCTATTTTCATGGTTTTAGGAATTTAACCCTTTTATGCAGTTTAAGAAGCAAACTTGATAGAAAATGAGGCTTATATCAGAATTTGATGAGATTAATTATAAAATGAGAGAGAACAAATGCAGCATTTGAAAAGCTGATATGTTTGGCTTTTCTGAAGGTTATCACTAATACAGAGTGAACACAAAGTACCTAGTAAGTTGAGGCGTGTGATTACATAGTCGACATGGACACTTAGTTGCTGTTTTTACACACTAACAAAACTAAATAAAAGACCAAATGTTAACAAAAAATTTTTTGAAGAGTACCACCTAACAAGCATTGTTTGCTAAAAACAAAATTAATAAGAACTTTACAGCAGTGACATTTGAATAGTGTAATAATGGTGAGTGGATGATGCTTTATTGCCGAGGTGGACATCTGTGGATTACAAATAGTGTGCTTGTTCAGTAAAGCACATCTATTAAATTTCATCATTGAACTGGCAGCACTTCTACTTTTTAGTGCCAAGTCAGACGTATCAGACACATATCAGCGCTTTCAGAAAAATAACACTTTCCCAGTCTGGATGTTGAATTGAACATTATTTACATGAGGGAAAGTGGTAAACTCACTTTTTCGCTTTGCAAGTTACCCTAAAGCAGCAGCTTAAGTTAGACGCACCTGTACTAACAACA